TTAAAGCAGCGAGAAAAAAAAAAAATCCGCCCTCCCACCGGAAGCACCACCACCGCCGCGCCACCACCGTCTCGGCACCGTCAACTACATATCTCTTCGTCAATTAGGTAAATGGCCTAATTTTTTCATTTTTTTCAACAAATACGAATTTTCATAATACGTTTTTAGGTTAGGGTTGCTTGAAAATTTGATGTTTCATAATATGGTTGATTGCATATTGTTTGAATTTTAGGTTAGGGATGATTGCAATTAGGCTTTAGGGTTCGAATTTTAGGTTAGGGTTGATTGCAAACAGTAGGAACATTTTCTGTGTGATATAACAAAAAAAAAATTGGTCTTCTTCTTCACTGAGGACGTTAGGGTTGATTTGAACTATCGTTTGAATGAGGCTAGCAATTAGGGTGAACGGAATTTTTGGAATTAGGACGTTAGGGTTTGGATTTAGAACTTCGAATTAGGACTCGAAACTCTAATGTTTTTGAAATTGTGAATCGGATATTGGACGTTTTTTTGGCTTGTATTTGATTTATACATTGATTTGGATTCTTTTCGGAGCTTATTTTTGTATTTGAAACATAAGGTTGTTTACATGTTTGCTACAATTTTATAATTTTATTTTCTAAAAATATGACATTCAAAATAAAGCTATATACAAACCATTTATAAAGTAGTCTTAAACCAAAAATTAATCTAATTAAAAATAAGTGACGATAAACTAAATATAAAACATTTATAAATTGTAAAAGGTTAGTATATTTGTAATTAAAATCAGTGACGATAAACTAAATATATTTAAAACATTTACAACAAATTTAGATATAAAACGGAATTATTATTAATATTTTATAAAGAATTTTTTATTTAGAATTTTATAAATATCCTATTTAAATTTTTATAAAGATTTCATAATTAAACATCAGGCTATCATTAATTTAATAAATAACCTTAATCCTAATATTTTCTTTTTTGTATTGTTTGTAGATAAATGGCTTCATCGTCCTCCTTACAGCCTCAGCAGTACAGTGTCCATCCCGGTCCGAGGGATGGCACTCTTCTATATCTCCAGTACCGCCGCCGGTCACAGGCGGTATTTGATAATGCGTCGGGAGCTCGTGACACGGCGCTCACAAACCGCCGTTTCGACAGTCAGTTCTAAGTGGCTTTGTCAAGCCAGCCACAGTCGGTTTGGGAGGTCATCGACCGGACTGGTTTCGGACCCTTGTTTCGAATGGGTCGAATCCAAGCTGACAACAACCTCATTACTGCTCTCGTGGAGAGGTGGCGCCCAGAGACGAATACCTTCCATTTCGATTTCGGCGAGGCCACGACGTACAAATCATGTTCGGTCTGCCAATCATTGGAGCTGCTGTTATGGGAGTGACTAGAGATCTATCACCCGTACAGTGGCGAGAGAGGTGCAAGGACTTGCTAGGGTACGAGCCCTATGTTCAAGTATATTTTTTCACAGTATTTTTTTTTCAATATATGTCAACTCAATTTTATAGTTTTTAATATGGAAAACCACTCTCAGGATCCTCCCACCACCGAGGAAGAGCAAGCAGCCCAAGATCCAAAGTCTTGGGACATTAAAGGCTAGTATCTGAATGATGGAGGGTTAGAGGAGGAATGCAACTGTGTGTTGCAAGAAGGACAACCGGACATCGTGTACGAGCAGAGGGCGAGGGCCCTTATCTTCTGGTGCATTGGGTCCTTCATCTTCCCCGACCACCGGGCGAATGGCGTCCCACTTTACTGGCTCGACCTGCTGCAGGACATACATGCTGTTAAGGGGTACAGCTGGGGTTCAACGCTCTTGACCGGAGTGTATAGAGCGTTGTCAACCTCGTACAAGGCTAAGGAGAAGTGGATGAAGAACTGCGTTCAATTGATCCAGGTAAATTTATTTAATTGTTATTTGAAAATTTAATATTTTATTTTTTCTTATTTCGACTAATACCTAATACCAAAATTAATATCCATTTGTGTAGGTTTGGGCATGGGAGCATATCCCTCGTATTCGCCCAATAGTGAAGACCAGTACGTTTGATAATCTGCCTGGTTGTCCATTGGGAGCGAGGTAATCACCGCTATTTTTATTTAATCCGTACTTTATTTTCATTATCAAATTTTGTGATTACAATTTTTTTTTTTTCTGTGATTTTTTTAAGGTGGGTGGGACCGAAAAAGAAGTCCAACATAGCCAATACATTGGTCGCCTACCGGGATCAGTTGACAGGGCTGGGAGAGTATGATGTAATATTCTTAATTCCTATTACTTGATTTATCTATCTTTTTTCTAATTTTGTAATAACTTAATTATTAATTCAATTGTTATTTTTTTTTACAGTTCGATTGGCAGCTCTATCGACAACACCTGAAGAATGATACTCTCCCGGAGGCGTGCTCAAGAGATCCAAAACTTTGGATGTACCGGGGGTGGATTTTCAGTTGGAACACCCGGGAGGTACACCTGCCTGACAGGGTCCTCCGTCAATTTGGGTGTCGCCAGTCCATCCCCCAAGATCCGATCATTCGGGATGAGCGAGACTGAGACACACACCACAGAGGTTAGGGGATGACTGGGAGGGCGTTTTATGATTGGGCCGCATTCCATGTGCCGTTTCTGAGCTCGTGGACCGAAGAAATAGAACGTCTCCTCCCAGTTATCCCAGTGTACGACTATCTGCAGCCGGAGCAGGGTTACCTTGAATGGTTTCACAGTAGCACTGTGAGATTCATCAATAACCCTGCCAATTACCCGGCGTTCCAACAGGCGGGCGGTTATCAGCCACTTGCCGAGCGGTTAGGCTGTCAGGTAAGTGTTCATTATTTGTGTTTATTATTATTATTATTTTTTTTTTTGTTTTTTTTTTTTTTTTTTTGATTTTTTTTTTTTATTTACATACATGTACATTCACGCATAATAGCGTTTCAAGAACTTCCCATTGATAGGACCAACTACCAGACCGTCTTCGGCTACTACCTTGTATGCGCCATTGGTATAAACATCTCTCACAACATATGGACCATCCCACTTTGGCATTTAATTTTTTTCAGTCCAATTTATGATTTATTTTTTCAATTGAATTACTCAGATGAAGAAGATCAAAATGAGCAGGCTTTTCAAACTGACACGCCTCTCACGCCTCAACCTTCGTCTTCTTCTCACTTGGTATATACTCGGAGGGGGTCCAAAACGCGCAAGCCTAGGGATCCATACACTCCTTTTTAGTTAGTTTAGTTGAATTCGTAGATTTTATGTTCACTTTGAATTGTTGGATTGTCTGTATCAACCGAATTATATCATTTTGTATATATTGTTTGTTAACAAATTATTGTGTTTTCATTTGTTTGTTTATAGTGTATGTTGGATTATTATTGGGCGGATATGTTGGTATTAGTTGCTCGAACAGGTGTATTTGGTTGTGAACAGGTATATTCGGTTGTTAATAGGATTTTTGCTAAAAACGTATTAGTGAAATACGTTTTTCATATATTTATATAAAAAACGTATTTCATGAATACGTTTACTTTGAAAATTTAGGGCAAATTCAATTTGGGGCTAAAATTAGTGCAACAAAATAATTCGAGGCAAAATTACAAGAAAAACGTATGTTCAAAATACGTTTTATATTTTATTTTAATTTTTTCTAAAAAAATTATTTTCAAGAATTGTAAAAATTGATTTTATTTGTAAAACGTATTTCATAAATACGTTTTATAATTAAAAAAGTAAATAATAAATTAATTTTAATTTACAAACGTATTTATATAATACGTATTTGATTTTTTTAATTTAAAATGTATTTAACTAATACGTTTTTCTATATTTTAATTAAGTTAATTACGTTAATTAAGTTAGCTAACCTTTTTTTTTTAAAAAAACGTATTCAGTGAATACGTTTCAAAATCGAACACGTATTACGCAAATACGTTTTATAATTAAAAACGTATTCAATGAATACGTGCTTTCTATTTTGGTCGACTCTATTTTTTTTTTCTCCACTTCTTTTTTTTTTTTTAGTAAAAAAATCCTTACAATGACACACACATATACGTGTGTGTATAACTGTACATATATACAACTTCACTAAATTTCAGAACCAGGTTAGTGTGAGAGAACCACTTTTCTCAGGTGAAAGAGGAGAGAAGGGAAAGAGGATACGGATTATGAAAGGATGAATCAATTTCAGAACCCAAAACCCTCTATCAGAAGCGTCACGCTAGTGGGATCTATCTAATCTGCTTCCCTCTTTTCCCCTTTACAATTCTATTCCCGACCCTGTACATTTTCATTCTCGTTTTTCCGCGAAAATTTGGTTCGAAAGCCATTGGATCAGGATTTAGAGGTGATCGAGCCATTCGCGGTTACAATCGCCGGGAATTTTTGTATGTGTCGTTTGAGAATCTCAAAATGGTGATTGAGGATAACGAGAGCTGTGGGAGTAGGGTGGCGGAGACTTCGGCCGGGAAGAACTGGCAGCAGCGGAAGAAGGTGGAGGTTTACAACGAGGTTTTGCGGCGGCTGAAGGAGGCCGAGCATCCGGAGGCGCAGGAGCCGTCTTTCGACGATCAGCTTTGGGCCCATTTCAATCGCCTTCCTGCCAGGTTGCCTTAGCTGGTCTTTTACGCTCCAAATCATGTTATAAATTCATTGCATCTATTTACTTTATGTTGGTCTTTTCAGACTTTGCCTTTCTGTCTTGCATTCGGAAATGGGGTGGGATTTTTTTACGTTTTTCTTCTCTCAATCCGTGGATTTGGATGCTGGGTTTTTGTGATTGGTTATTTTTAGGAATTTCGTCATCCCATTTGTTCAATTAATGGTGGTTTCATTGTGTTGTTCTGTTGTTATTGTACTCAATTTTGATGTGGATGGCAAAATAAAAAATATGGGTCGTTTTATTGGGTGCTGCATGCTAGGAATAATCTGTTACTTTTTTCTGTACACAAGTGATACTCGTGCAAGTTGGTTGACAAATTTTTTCGACGTTTACGGTTTTGATGATTCTGAATTGAAGGTATACAATGGATGTTAATGTTGAAAGGGCAGAAGATGTTCTTACCCACAAACGTTTACTGCATCTGGCACGTGATCCTGCTAATAGACCAGCTTTTGAAGTTCGATTAGTGCAGGTGACATATTTTATACTATATTTATACTGCATTTACCATAATTCCTGCATGTTAAGACGCATTGTTCGTGTTTCTGGATTGCATGGGTGGATGCTCTAAATCACCCTATGATTAACTCAGAATGGGGGTTATACTGAAGAACAATCATTTGAATCATGTCGGTTATGCCTTTTAGCAATTGATTTCATCATTTGTGATCCACCAAAGCTTTTTCCTCATTTTTGGACCAGTCTTCGAGCAATCTCTTGATGCCATCTCGATACTGAATACCATACTGCCATGTACAGGTGGTACCAGTCCTTGATGGGAATTCAGAAGATTCTGTGCACTCACGCCCACCAAGAAAAGGGAGGTAATTGACCACTTCTTTTGAAAAACTAATTTTAATGGTTTTTAATTTAACAAGGTTCCCATTTGTCATTTTTTCGCGGTTGTGATTCAAACCATCCGGGCCTTTTGTTTCATCTAGGTTTATTGGGTAGTGTTAATCCTTATCCCCCTTTCTTATTCAGCATCCATGCACCACCCGCCTTTGGTTCTTCACCTAATGTTGAAGCTCTATTACTTGAAGCCAACAGATCCGAAGCTCAGGATGGGGACAGTGCCACCGACGCTGGTGCCAAGTCTGCTAGGTAATCTCTGTTGAGATGTTCTATTTGTGGTCTTATTATTGCTTGAGGTGCCGTTTGGAACTTCAGTGGATAGAATATGAAGCGTTCAGGCTTGGTATTTATTTTAAACCATTTTTTAGCTGTGTTGTATTGTTTTGATCTCACCATGGCCACCTCGTTTATTTGTAAACCCGACTGTCATATTCTGGGACAAACTAATCAAAATAAATTCATTAACCTATATTTTATTTGAATGGTCTGTTCAATTCTTGAAGTATTAATAAACTTGACCATTCAAAATGTTTCATGGAATATCATGTGATGCATAAATTTGCGTGTGCTTACTATTCTAGTAACTGTCTTTGCAGGCCCATGCATGAGATTACATTTTCAACTGATGACAAGCCAAAGCTCCTCAGTCAGGTAACTTTCCTGACCATGCTTAAATGATCACTAAGTGACTGTTTGCTTGAGTAGATTGATGCCTGAACTTCTCTTTGTCAATTTCATGGATAATTGCTTGTTTGTACAATCTTTAGCCACTCATATATTGTAAATTTTAGTGTGTTGGAGTTCTTTTTTTTTTTTCCTGGTTGAATTAGCAGGCCTCAGCAACCTAATATTAATATTTGTCTTTTATAATGAAAATATGAGATTTTACCTTTTTTCTTTTGTTAATGAAAAGCAGATACTCAATGAACTATTGTTATGAACATTGCAGTTGACTTCTTTGTTAGCTGAAGTTGGGCTGAATATACAGGAAGCACATGCCTTTTCCACTATGGATGGCTATTCTCTAGATGTCTTTGTTGTTGATGGGTGGCCATTTGAGGTATATGCATATTTCTTGTCACTCTCGGTCTTGCATCTGTTGTTTTGTTCTATTGACAACCATCCTTTACTTTCCTATTACAATGTTGTTTTATTGCTTCTGAGTTTTGGTACTAACTAGTTCTTTTTCTCTTTTGTGAAAGATATTCTGTTCTTCTACTCCGGTTGATAACAGTTTTATGAGAAGTAATAAACATGCTCATAGCCCTTGTTTTGATAAGAGAAAATATGAAGATGCCCACCAAATATGTTGCCTCTGTTTCGAAATTGCCACGTCTTTTTTAGTCTTATTCTTGTTTGTTTGCATGTGAAGGTGCTGTGTTTTATTCTTTGGTTAACTGGCTTGAAGATTACTTGTGAAACCACGTCCCGTACTTATTTCCATTCTACAGATTTCTTTCTCAGCAGCTTTTTATACCTCCATTAGATTTTGTGAGTTGTGTTTTTTTTGGACCCTCATACTTTCCAGGAGGTTGAGCAACTTCGGAATGCTTTGGAGAAGGAAGTTTTGAAGGTTGAGGTATTTTGCTGCTATACTTTTGTCTTTGAGCATCTTGGAATTAACTGTGTCCGTTGCACTGCACATGACTTGGTTATCATGTCTAATTTTTACAGTAGTTGTCTGCTCTATCAAAAACTGTTTTCGCTTGTACATGTATGAATTATATACAATTCTGATGCTTCTAGATGGAGCTTTAGCTCATACAAATTCATTGTGGCGTTTCTATTTTTTAATGATCTCGATTGTCCTCTGCATATGATTTGTCATACTACTCTTCTCAAGTAGTGAGTATTAATAACTTCTTTTATTTTTTTATTTTTCATTTCCTTTAACACAGAAACAATCTTGGCCAAGTCCAAATTCTTTGCCCCCTCTTAATGAACCTGAGCATAGAGAGGTTAAATGTGAATTGGATCATCTGAAAATTCCCAATGATGGTACTGATGTTTGGGAAATTGATCCTCAATTCTTGAAATTTGAATCAAAAGTAGCATCCGGATCTTATGGTGACCTGTAAGTAATATAGGATATTGTCTTTGATGGTTACACTTTCCTGTGAGTTTATGTACTCATTGAACTATGTATTCCCAGATACAAAGGTACTTATCACAGTCAGGAAGTAGCAATTAAAATTCTCAAGGCAGAGCGTTTGAATATGGAACTGCAGAAGGAATTTGTCCAAGAAGTATATATAATGAGGTTTGTCGTGATTGCATTATCACCATCTGTAGAGATGCGCTTGGCTGCTTGCTAGAGTTTCTCCTGACAAATTTTCAGATGGTTCAAATTTGGATTTGCATTAGCCTTTTGTATTGATAATAGTTCAGTTGTACCCTTGCGCATACTTCCTAAGTAACTGGCATGAGTCCTGCTATTCTTTTATACTTTTCCTAGAAGCTTCCTTTTTCTTGCACATATATTGCGGTTCACTAATTATTATTGGAAGTTCCTGAATTTACACATTGTTGCTTTTTCTTCTTCCCTTTTGTTTTTTGTTTTTTGTTTTTCTGTTCTTCTTTTCATTAGTTTGTGTATATGCAGGAAAGTTCGTCACAAAAATGTAGTGCAGTTCATAGGGGCATGCACCAGACCTCCTAACTTGTGTATAGTAACAGGTTTAGAGACCAATATCTTTATTTAGTTTCTGTTTTGGTCAATTGGTTGCAAAAGTTTACTGTTTTTACTTTTTTATCACAGAATACATGTCTGGAGGGAGTGTTTACGACTACCTTCACAAGCAGAAGGGTACCTTTAAGCTTCCAGCCTTGCTCAAAGTAGCAATTGATATATCAAAAGGCATGAACTACTTACATCAAAACAATATAATTCACAGGGATTTGAAGGCTGCAAATCTTTTAATGGATGAAAATGAAGTAAGCATCTAGCAGTGCATCTGCATGACTTAGTTTTAATCTCTTAAGCTGCTACGTTGTATTGCTTCCATCACGCTGTAGTTTTTTTTTCCCTTTAAGAGAAGTTACCTTGATTGCGGCCAATTCTTGATTGATGGATTACTAGTGTGGAAAATTAAAAGTCGAAGGTTTTGGCTGTTCACCTTAATGGGAACAAAATGAATGTCTTTCTCATCCAACAATCCACTTCCACCTGCCTGTTTCAGATATTAGGCGTTCTATTATAGCTTTGGGATGAGATGTCTAATTCATCAATTTCAGTATTTTTTTTTTAAAAAATTATTTTCAGGTTGTTAAGGTTGCTGATTTTGGGGTGGCTAGAGTAAAAGCGCAAACAGGTGTGATGACAGCAGAAACTGGAACATATAGGTGGATGGCCCCTGAGGTACGCTTCTTGAAGTTTCTAGAGTAATTGTTCTTCATCTACATTGAAGCATGAGCCATACTTACATAAGGGTGGATTTACACTTTGATATGATGCGTTTACGTGTCATGATCCTATTTTTTCACACATCAAATATTCTTCACAATCAACATTTACTATTATTACATCAGTTATGTTAAAAGTACATGTCAATGCATTTTTCTGTTTTAGTAGAATTTGAGTTGAAGGTTTTAATTATGAAGTCATCTGGTGGGTGCTTATAGGATTTCTTTCAAGTATTTTATTGATATATGCTACTTTTTTGCATATTTCTGCTTATAAGCTGTTGGCATATGTGCTTTCATCAATACTTGACCAATTTCCGTATTTCAATAATGCTGTTCTTGCGCTGATTCCATTTGCAAACTGATGTAGAAGCGTAGGAATGGGTCTGTATTTTCACAGAGAAAACATGAAGAACAAAACATGAAGAACAGTTCTTTTCTTTCGTTCAATATTTCATAACTGTCCTTTTTCATCCTACACACATCCATTTTAATACCTATTACATTCAAATTCTAAAATCCTAATACAATAAGCCCAATACATATCATAAACAAAGGTCCAAACACAATAAGCCCACTACACATCATAAATAAATACTAACATAGATAATAAAAAATAAATAATAATCATACTAAAGACCGAAGCCGATCACGTTTGTCGAGATATGCTAATGCAATCTCGTCGGCATCATTCTCCCCTGGGTGGAGAGGATTCGCCCTCGAATCCGAAATCTCGTCGGCAAGGGAATCGTCATCAGCTAAAGGTACCAAATGCGTCATGTGAAAAACCTCCGATGAACGTACATAAGATGGAAATTGAAGACGGAAGGTATCCTGAGTAACTCGATCAATGATCTCAAAATGCCCCAAGCGATGGTCCAACGACGAAATGATCCACCCAAAATCGCCTACATCAAAGACCACTGAATGACCGTCCACCGAGCTGGATAACTCCCTACACTGCTCAGTGCGAGAGACGAATAAAATCGAAGAAGACGATGGCAAAGGTCCCGAACGGGATAACGACGGCAGCAAGACTATACGGACACCCTCAAATGAAAAGCTATATGTGTTGAATCGTCCATCATGGACCACCGAGCGATCAAATTGTCAAGGTTGTCCTAATAAGAGGTGCCAAGAATCCATGGGCACGACGTCACACCATGTCCGTATAAGAGGATCCGACAGAAAAGGTCACCAACACGCGTCGAGTGACACGAACAGAATCATCATGCTGTATCCACGCAAGAGCATACGGATCCGGATGAAGCTCACTTAACAAACCAAGTTTCGACACGACCTCGTTCGAAATCACATTCTCGCAGGAACCGGAATCAATAACAAAACGGCACACCCGGCCACCAATGGTGCATGTGGATTCAAAAAGGTGGTGGTGCTGGACCGTATCCTCGGAAGAGAAATGGGGAGACAAAAGAGATCGACGATGGCCAAGCGCGTGACCCACATCTCTCGAAACATGCACTTCGGGAACCTCCGGCTCTTTATCGAAAATTGGAGGACCATCGTAAGCAGTCGAGTCTGGCTCGTCAACAATCAAAGCTCGTGACCCTCTCGCTTTCGGGAATTGTGCCTGACGATGTCCCGGCTCACCACAAGTGAAACAACGGGGACCACTAGTCTGTCGATTGCCACTCCCCATCGTGGGGCCAACCACACGGCCTTCTGAAGGAGCACTGAAATCGAACGAAGCCTTCACCACAGACGGCGCGGTACCCAAAGGCCCAAAAGGCTCCTTTGTAGACGATGCAAAAGAAGTGCCCACCTTCCGGGCCTGCTGCTGCTCAACCAATAAAGTCCGCTGATGAGCCTCAGAAGCGGAAGCCAGTGTAAACATATTCAACAAATCCTGAATAGAGACATGCAATCCCCCAATATAACGACAAACCAACTGTTCCTAAGTTTCACGAATATCTACTCGAGCTAAGAGTTTATAAAATTCCTCAGTATAATTATCCACACTACGTTGTCCTTGACGAAGATTTTGCAATCGCTGATATAAAGTACGAACAAAATTAAACGGTAAAAATTCCCGTTCAAGAAACTTACTAATTTCATCCACGAAGTGATTTTTGGTATGCCCTGCATCGACAGCACGCCTTTCAGTTGTAGCCACCAAGCAGCCGCACGACCCTGAAGTCGGGTAACAACTAGCACCACACGACGGTCATCCGGGACGGCCTTATAATCGAAGGCGGATTCAACAGCAGCTAACCAATCAAGAAATTCGGCCGCATCCAAACCTCCGGCAAATTCCGGAATTTCCACACGAAAAGCTATTTTCCAACGATTATCTCCTTGAAAATGGGCCTCATGCCCAGGCCCACTAAACACATTATATTGACCTTGAAAAGTAGGAGCAGAATTATTAAATCTGCAAAACCCCCTTTCGTCATCCAAATGACGCACATATCCAGGAAATTGAGTGCCGCGATTTTCTCCTCCACAACGCAGATCGGCGAATTCATCATAAAAAATCGCAGCCCCACGCCGACCATCTTCCTGCCATCCGCGAAAGTCATCCCCGCCGGCAGCCCCTCGCTGGAACGCGCAATCGCCGCCTCGCAGACCGTCACGGCCTAGGGCATCGCGCCGACCATGTTGCTGCCATCCGCGACCGTCGTCAACTCCGGCAACCCCTCGTCGGAACTCGCGGTCGACAAATCCAAGAAACTCGCGACCTAGGGCGTCGCATCTGTGACCCGCTCGTCGGTTGACGGGATTATCGTGGGCCTGAAAACCATCCTGTTGTCGACGGTTATCATCAATTGCGGGGTCGCGGAACCCTTCCTCTGGTGGCCGGCGGTTATCAACATCACGGTTGCCGACAAAGCCCTCAGCAAAGGGATTAATATCCGACCACGTTGCATCACTATCGTCATCGTCGAAGTTAGGATGTGGAGGCAGTTGACGGGGCGCCCGCCAAACCCGCATCCGCCACGGCCACCTCTGTGACCCCCGCCACTGGCACGGCCTCCGACGACATCACGGTTCTCCTGCTGCTCTCGCACCATTATTGAGTATGAGGCGAAAGGTTCATAACCCGAGTGTCCAACAATTGCATCCGATCATCCATTCCTTGAAGACGATCGTTCACAACCTTCCTACTTTTATTAATAATAAAAGCCCATAATACTACAAACCCAACACACAATATCTATAATTACAAACAAGCCCACTACATAATATAAATAAATGCAAACATAGATAATAAATAGTAATAATAATAATAATAATAATAATCAAGGTAAAGACCGAAGTCGATCACGTTTGTCGAGATATGCTAATACAATCTCGTCGGCATCACAAACTGAGAATCTCATGCATTTGCTAAGAGCATCTCCAACCGATACCCAAAACTAACTAAATGCAATATTTTTACTCCAATGATACCCAAAACTAACTAAATGCAATATTTTTACTCCAATGGACACTCATCCCCAAACGCAAATTGCGTTTTCTCATTTTTTTGATCCGTGGAAACGCAAATTTGCGTTTATCCTGTTCACTGACGTAAACCTTTTAAAAATTGCAATATGACCCTGATATGGATAGGTGAGATAGGGTGTATTTATTTATTTCCTTTCTTCTCTATAGATATTTATGCCACTAATTAATTTTTAATATATTATATGGATATAAAATTTAACTGAATGCCAAGAATTAATGTCAATAATTAATTTTTGAGGCTAATTATTTCTAATGACGCCAACCTAGCATGTTTCTATAATATATAACATATTTACTTTTTATATATTTAGTTGTATTGATGTATTATATATTTCTATATGTTTAGCTCTATTGATGTATTTTATCTGTATGTAATGTAGTAGCTAAATTTTATTTTGTAGAACAATTATAATTTGTACATTGCAAATGGAGCTGGAAGAGTCATTGTTGACAATTCTCCTGGTTAATAATAGACTAGATCAAAATGGCTCAATTAAATTCTAGTGCTTCTTCTATTAGTGAAGTTTCTAGATTTATTTTTTTTATCAAACGGCGCAATGCACCTTGGGTCGCTACGGAAAAATAATTACAAGGGTAAGGTCTGCGTACAACTGACCCCCCAGACCCCAACCTGTTGGGAATATACTGGGTATGTTGTTGTTGTTGTTGTAGAACAATTATAATCATATCTATAGAATTTTGAAATTAAAATGAAATATTAGCATTAAAAAATAATAATATGGTTTAATTTGTAAAGTTGTAAAATATGTGGGTAGTATTGAAAAGTTATAAAAGTTATAGAAAAGGAATATTTCGAGAAATATTCTTTTGGGTTTGAGAATGAGTTTTTCGGTTGGAGATGAATTAAGACAGTTACTGCAAAATGGGTTTGAGAATGAGTTTTTTGGTTGGAGATGGTCTAACCCAAAACCTTTTGTTCTTCTGTAGGTTATCGAGCATAAACCCTATGATCATAAGGCAGATGTCTTCAGTTTTGGGGTTGTCTTGTGGGAATTACTAACAGGAAAGGTATCCTTTTTCCATTCCTTTTTCTTAATCAACAAATTATAGAGCAATTTTTTATTTTTATTTTTATTTTTTTATTTTTTGACAACATTTTTGCTTTCTTTGTTCGTCAGATCCCATACGAGTACTTGACTCCTTTACAAGCAGCGGTTGGAGTAGTTCAAAAGGTAGAAACATCAAATTTTATTCAAGTAATTGGTCGTTCGATTTGTGATTCTCTTGTATATAAAAAAAAAAAAAGAAAATACTCCCTAAAATATCAGGGTCTTCGGCCGACTATTCCAAAGCACACTCATCCAAAGCTTGCTGAGCTGCTTGAGAGATGCTGGCAGCAAGATCCAGCTTTGAGACCCGACTTCTCTGAACTCAAGGAAACTCTACAGAAGATAGCTAAAGAGGTAATGTATAGTATAGATATAGCTTCAACCGAGATATGCGTGCATCAAAATTACTTAAAAAAATTATTGATCTGCTATGAGAAAGGGAACAACACTAATGCACTTTATTCAACTTGGTAATTCAAAATTCCAGTACCTTCACTTTGTAGTCGTTTTCCGAGCACCGTCAACTTATGGTTTTTTGACAGGTTGGAGATGATGGAGACGATAAATGCAAGGAGAAATCTGCAGGAATTTTTTCTGCCTTGAGACGAGGACATCGCTGACCAAAATACAGTAGGATTTATTGGACTTCTGATTTTTCATTTTTCTCTGCGTGTGTGTGTGTGTGTTTTTTTTTTCTTTTTTTTTACTTTTTTTTTTTACTTTCTTCACACCCTTAATCTCTATTGAACTGTACAGTTATCCATTTCGTTTTAACTGGATTGTAATATACCTTCTTCCTTCAATACATTACATATTCCCGTTTATATAATTTCAAAGTTTTTGTACTTTGAATTGATATAAAACTGAAATCAATCTAAATATCATCTGTTTTCATGTTTCCATCAACTGTTAATTGTAAAATTTTTATCTCATTTAATTGATCCAAATTAAATTCAACCAAAAGTGTCATTCTTTTTTCTTCCCATGTTTCCATTATATTCCTTATTGATAAAATAGTTCGAAATCTGCTCACCAATGAAGTCGTTAATCTACCGCAGTTTAGAACCATATAGAGGATTACAATAAGAAGACATTTGAACTTTTGATCTATACATTGGAAATTTTGTATCATTTGTACTTCATATTTAAACAATGTACAACCCTATCAAGAAATTGTCCAATCATAAAATATTTGACCAACTTGAATAATAAATTGCATTTTCTTATTGTTCTGCAATACTAATAATAACCTTTTATTCAGTCCATATCATACTTCTTATTTCAAAATAATCAAGTTTTTCTGTTTGAGATTCATATTTCATTAAAAAAAATAAAATTGTATCTATATTTTTAGAAATTAAATTCATCTATAATGTTATATTAGAAACAATAAAGTCGTAACGAATCCCAACTGATCTAATGTGATCAAATATTTTTTGCAGGAAAGTAGTCACATAAGTGCAACACATATGAATGTCAATAGATAAAGTAAAAATGCAGTATTTGCAAATTTAGAATAATTTTTTTATATTTATTTATTTTTCATTTTTATGCATATATTATATATAATTCAACACTTATCTTATCACGGATACATATACATATTGGTAATTTGATTATGATTTAGAATGTAATTTATTGTATGCAACTCTAATGTTATTTTGCTAACTAAGAGAATATGAAAGACCTCAAAGAGAAACATTCAATAACATACCAACTCAAAGTCCTCAAAACCATGCATGAAAACTGCACCTTCCGTTACGGATCACACGTTCCCATTTCGAACTCATACTAGTTTTACCCCGTGCAAAATGCACGAAAAACAATATAATAGAAGAGAAAATAATAAAAAATATAGATTAAAATAAAAATCATAACTTAATAAATGAGAAAAAATAATTTTAAAAAAAATAAATCTAAATATTAACACTTCTCTATATACAACATTCGTGGTTTTTCTATCGTCAGAATCCTCATCACAATAAATCATTGTCATTAAACCCCTTCGAGTCGTGACAATGGGATTTGGTTTTTTAAAATATTTTATGTATATTTGTAATATCCAAAAAAATATTTATTTATTATTGTATGACTGCAATAGAAAATAAAGATATTTGTAGTCATTATTAATTAGTTGTAAAATATGTATTTATATATATAATACCAAAAATTATATAGTAACAAAATTATTTTGTATTTAATGACATAAAAAGACGTTAGAGAAATAGGCACCATCCAAAATGAGACATGTCAAAATAAATTGTGTGATCTTTTTAATGGTGAATATATTTTTATTAAATGAACACCTATTTTTATTAAATTAATAAACTCATATTATTATTAATTACTAGCTGAACAAAATTTATTGAAATTTCCCAGCAATTATATATACTAAGATTTTTCAAAACCATTGGCACAATCATTTTTTCTTTACTCCAAATTTAATTTCACCTTAAACAAACACAATAATCACATACACTATTAATTAGCTGATAATTATCGACAATGTCATCTTCTTCAATGAATAGCGGATTCCTTAAAATGTTTATTTTATTATTCTTATTATTAAATGTCTACTTCTATTTATGGAATCAAATCATTTGGATGTTACCCGTCAACTCCACTTACTCGCTTGTTTTGTAAGAGTTTATTTAATTAAGTTTTGGCCAAAGACTCTAATTATGTGAAAAAAAAGGTGTTATAGAAGAGATGATTCACTTGTACAATTAGTTACTCGCTATCAGTTATCCACTAATATAATCAAGTAATCAACTATACGTTATCAGATATTAAGAAAAAAATGTTTATATCATTTATTAAAACACAATATTTATATCATTTATTAAAACACTATTTCTAGATAAAAAAAATTTGCACATTTACAAAATCTCGCTAGCCCTCAAATGATTTACTTCTCTCTATTAATCAATCAATAAATTGATTGATTTTATTCCCTTTTTATTGTTTTTCTTTTCTTATTTTTTTTCCCTTATCAAACAATCACATTCATGGACTTCTCATCTTCATGCAAAAAGTCCTTCAAATCTAGCAGTTCCTATAAGCATGGCAGAAAAATCTCCATAGGCCGATCATCAGAGGAGGACGCCATCCACGAGCAGCAGCCCATCCTCTCCGATCACAACCGCGACTCTTCCTCCTCCTCCCCCGCCGGCGCCGCATCCCACCGTAATTCCGTTTCCGGACCTTCCGAGGTCATCGTCAAGGTCGACGGCGGCGACGTTCCCTCTCCCGTCCACAACAGGAACGACGCCCACTGCCGCGAATCGAGCCTCGGTTTCTGGGCCGATGAGCCCCGCGCGCCCATGCAACCCGAGCTGATCGGAGTTTTCCTCAACCAGCAGAACGACGGAGGCGGAGAATTGCGCCTCGACGTGGATATGGAGATGGATGATCTCCACCTCAATCGCGGCAGCAACACTGGCCCTAATAGCAGCCTCCCACCTGCGAACCCCAATTATAATAATCACAGTTTCCGGAACCCTAGCGAGTTGAAAACGACAATGGAGGTTCCCGGCGCCGTGGTCGATATTCGTCCCGACGAACCGGACAAAATAGAGTCCTCATCCGACGAGGATGTGAATCGAACGCTCAGGCGGCGTTCCTCGAACGTGGACACCAACAACAATGGTGGCCTGGGCGGGAATACTGATGGTCAGGTGTTGAAATGCACGTCGATTCAGAGAAGGGTGAGTAATTTGGGCAGGATGAAGACTAGGTCTCGGCTGATTGACCCGCTTGAGTTCACAGAGAGGAGATCTGGCCAGATGCGATCCGGGATGCCGGGTAGAAATTCCGGCGTATTGGGGAAACCCGTGGACGAAGAAGAGGATGACCCTTTATTCGACGAGGATCTTCCGGACGACTTCAAGAAAGGTAAGTTCGATGCATTGACTATTTTACAGTGGATTAGCCTCATTCTGATTGTAGCAGCTTTAGCATCGACTCTTGCTATCTCTGAGCTGAAGAGAAAGAAGCTCAGGGGACTGAGTATCTGGAAATGGGAGGTTTTGGTTCTGGTTTTGATCTGTGGGAGATTGGTCTCTGGCTGGGGGATAAGAATAGTCGTCTTCTTTATCGAGAGGAACTTCTTCATGCGGAAAAGGGTGTTGTACTTTGTGTACGGTGTGAGAAAGGCCGTTCAGAACTGTATCTGGTTAGGGCTGGTTTTAATCGCCTGGCATTACATGTTCGACCATGAGGTCGAAGGGAATAACAAGTTCCTGCAATATGTGAACAAAATAATGGTTTGCATGCTGGTAGGAACTCTGCTTTGGCTGGTCAAGACCCTCATGGTCAAAGTTCTTGCCTCGTCTTTCCACGTCAGCACGTTCTTCGACCGTATCCAGGAGACCCTGTTCAATCAGTACATAATCGAGACTCTTTCTGGTCCGCCCCTGATTGAGATGAGGAACCACCAAGAGGAGGAGGAGAGGACTATGGCTGAGGTATGCCGGCTTCAGAATGCAGGGGCTACATTGCCGCCTGATCTGAGGTGCCCGCCTTTTCAGGCGGCGAAGAGCGGAAAGGCGGTTGCCGGTGGAGGAGGAGGAGGAGGAGGGCTGCCGCCGAGGCCGGCAAGAGGATTGAGTTTCGGAGTTTCCGGGCAGCTTACCAAGAATGATCTGAATGAGCAGGGTGCCGGTATATCGATCGACAAGCTGCAGAATCTGAACCACAAGAACGTATCTGCTTGGAGCATGAAGAGATTGATTAAGTTTGTGAAGAATGGGGTTTTGACCACACTGGACGAGCGTGCTTTGGGTAGCTCGCAAGGGGACGAGACAGCTATGCAGATTAGGAGCGAACGTGAGGCCAAAGCGGCTGCCAGGAACATTTTCCGGAATGTGGCGAGGCCTAGGGCCAAGTAAGTTTTTGTTTCTATTGTGCAACGTATTTTGTGCTTGCTTATACACTTGTATTAATTAATGTTGATTGAATAGGATTTCGAGAATGGAGGGAAATACGAGTGTTACTCATGATGATGCCGATTATCCAATTTGGTTGCACAAAATATAGTAACTAATTCTTAGATGATGCGGATTTAAGATCAACAATGTTGGAAACGTCTTTTTGATCCTGGCAGGTTCATCCACCTCGAGGATCTGATGCGTTTCGTGAAAGAAGAAGAGGCAGTGAAAACATTGAACATCGTCGAAGGATCAATTGAAGGCGAAAAAATCAGCAAAGCGTCCTTGAAAAACTGGGTGGTAAGAAATATTTATCTAATCTAGTACATTTGCAATTAATTCTCTACAAAAATCATAAACAGGATCATGCAATGAGTATTTTAATTGTGCCATGTTTCTACTCTTTATCCATAGGTCAACACGTTCATAGAAAGAAGAGCTCTCGCCCTAACACTGAACGACACAAAAACGGCAGTCGACAAACTTCATCGGATGGTCAATTTCATAGTCGGGATCATCATTCTAGTCGTTTGCCTGATCATCCTAGGAATTGCAACGAGCAAATTTATGCTCTACATCAGCTCACAGATTGTGATCGTGGCTTTTATTTTCGGAAACTCATGCAAGACCGTCTTTGAAGCCATCATATTCGTATTTGTAATTCATCCTTTTGATGTGGGCGACCGTTGTGAGGTTGATGGAGTCCAGGTACAGAGAAGCAATTCTCTTCCTCATTTAAAAAACTTTGTCATCTAAATTTGGTTTGGGTTATCGAGGTTTGCCTTTTATTCAACTACAGTTTCCATCTCCTTGTGCAATGCAACAAAAACTGTTATTTTGGGGAATTTTACAGATGATTGTAGAAGAAATGAATATATTGACGACTGTGTTCTTGAGGTATGACAATCAGAAGATAATTTATCCCAATGTGACTCTTGCCACAAGACCTATCAGCAACTACTACCGCAGCCCGGATATGGGCGATTCAATCGAGTTTTCCGTTCATATTGCCACACCAGCCGAGAAGATTGCCTCCATAAAGCAAAGGATAACAAGGTAAAAAATCTCCTTTCTCCTCCACCATGCCTCTGGCAGTAACTACACAAATACCAGCTATAAAAGTAACTAAATTTCAAAGTGTACGGTTATTTTCAGTTATATTGAGAACAGAAGTGAGCACTGGTACCCGGAGCCTTCGGTGGTGGTGATGGAATTGCAAGATTTGCGCACACTGAAGCTTTCGGTGTGGATGAGGCACCGTATGAACCACCAGAATATGGGTGAAAAGTGGAAGAGACGAGCTGTCTTGGTGGAGGAGCTTGTCAAAATTCTCAAAGAGCTCGATATCGAGTACCGCCTGTATCCAGTCGATGTCAACATCCGTGAAATGCCGCCTCTCAATCCCACCAGAATGCCTCCGGCGTGGATCACTCCTCCGCCCAACTGAAATTTTCACGGCTCGACTCAGTTATCGGGAAGTAGAACAGGAAATCGATCCAACGACTGGCACAAAGGAGATGAATTCTTTCCATTTGTTTTATCTTTGCTGTGCAGCAGTTGGTTTTTTGCTTGAGTAGAGAANTTTTTTTAAGCAATAAAATGCTGGCTTTGTTTACATTCATTCCATTGAATGATTTTGTACTAGCAATTCTCAGGCTTTGGGAGTAGCTCCACCCAGAGCAAAAAAGTTGCTAGTTTTTGCACGAGGTGAGTTTTTATATATAAAAACTGAAAAAAAGCCAATTGAGATTATTATTATTATCCCCCTCTTCCACTTTTACTTTGTAGTAGGTACTCATGGTGGCAAATACCAAGCACTAATTATTAAGTTTCTACATAACATTTATACTCCTTAATTATTAGAACAAACTCTTTTTTTTTTTGGCGAGTGGTAGCTTGTAACTTGTAAGTACTCAAGATAATTCTAATTTGATTTTTTGAAGATACCACTATGAAGAAATTACCATACTCTTACGGTGTCTTGAAATTACTCCAAAAATTTATTTCATTAAAATTGAAAATGAAATATTAACTTTTAAAAAATATTGTTCATAATCATTTCTTCTATATTTTTTTTTTCTATAGAATCCCTCATACACGATAAAAACTTAAAATAATGATTATTATACACATTCTGAAAAACACTAGTCATTCTGTCACATATTTAATTTTATGACTACAAAATTTTACCAATTAATAGTTTATTATTTTTCTATTACATAATTTTGATTATTATACTTTTCTTTTTATATCCATTTATAAATTGAAATTGCTCTCATTTTTTATGAAAATAATTATATACTTTTATTTTCGGACGAGATAATACTATCGAGAATACCTTATATAACAATTTCAGCCGAACTCTAAATGAGTCGAGCCGAGCTCGAGCCCTAACGAGCCGAGTTGAGCTCGGCTCGTTAAAAGAAAAGTTTGATGTCGAGCTCTAGCTCGACTCGATTATCACTAATAACGAGTTGAGTTCGAGCCTTAACGAGTCGAACTATAAAAAATTATATAAAATTTCTTTTTCGAGCCTTATCGAATCGAGCCGAACTCGACTCGTTAATCAAACGAGTTTTAAATGAGCTCGAGCTCGACTCGTTTATCAAATGAGCTCGAGCTCGACTCGTTTATCAAATGAGCCAAGCGGAACTTGGGACTTAACGAACCGAACCCGTTTAATTTAACAACAATAATTGTAAATACACAATAATTATGCAAGTAAAATTAAATAACAAAAATAATAAAAAAAAAATGTTTCCCGCTACTGTACAAACTGGCCCACGCACACACAACACAACACAGTGACAATTTCCCTTTCTGTAAATTCGAAAAATAGGAGGGAGAGCAATTACACTATTTTACACACACTCTTTCTCTCTCCTCTTCCTCCCTTTCTCTCTCTACACATGAGAGAGCAACAATGGCGAACCTCTCCAGCCTGGTGCACGAACTTCGTGAGCGCATAGCGGCCTCGTCGTCGACCTCATTCACCAAGCAAAACGACGAAGTTTTAGAGTCCCGATTTCGCGCCGTCATCCCCAGTCTTCTCCTGACCTACCTCATCCCTTCTTCATCTTCCAGTATGTGATTGTAGTTCTGTTCTGCTGATCATAGCTAGAATGATTGATGTAATACGTTCGGAGTTTAATATGAACTTCAATTTATTGCAGATAAAGAGAGGGAAGTGATTGCGGTGCTTAAGCTGTTGGCGCAAACTGCGAAGAATTTCCCGGGGGTTTTCTACCACGGGAAGGCGAACGCAGTGCTTCCTGTTATTGGCCGCATATTGCCCTTCTATGCTGAACCGGCGTTTCGGTTGGTCACTAGTTCCACTGTTTTGTTGTTCTGAATTTGGATGCTTGCGTTGTGAGTTATTGTGTTTGGTTTTATGGTTTTTCAGCAGTTAAATTCCGATTAGTTGAGGTTCTTAATCATTGGTTAGTTACCTTACTTTCCGACTACTGTTTAGTTTTACTAGCATTTATCTTTTGAGGTTTTATGGTGTTCCTGCTCTGTATATTATTATGGGTGTGCATATGTTTTTCAGTTTTATGGCTTTCTTGCTATTGTTTTTTTTTTTCCCCAAAATGTTATGATTATTGATTTTGGAAGAGTTGTGTATGATTAAATTGTATGGGTATTGTTGTTTTGGTTCTTTAGGTCCAGAACTGGTGTTATTTTTGAGACTGTTGGATCTCTTCTGTCCTTGCTCCGCACAGGCGATCGAGATGTGTACCGCCAATTCTTCATGGATGTTATGTCCCTAATCGAAGGTTCCGTATAGGTTTCCAGATTTTTATTATCTATTAAGTTCTCTACCGATCTCCTTTCAACCAAGATGAACTAATTATCACCCTCATGGAGTGATGGGAGTTCTATTTACTTTTCCTTGTGTGTGTGTGTGTGTTGGATCAGACTTTATGATTCTCATGTGAAAACACTCAGCCTTTACAAGCCTATGTGTTGATTATCATATTATCTTCTTTGATAGATCTTCTATATGCTGCCTCGATATACAATGAGAGAGGATTAAAGGAACCCACTCGATTGTTGTTAAAATCCTTTGCCAAGTCTTTTTCCAGAGGTCGTGGCGAGCCTGCCCTTCTGGATGATATCCCATTATGTAACAGGCCAGACAGTGGAGATGGAATATTAGTTGATCTTACAGGAAAAGAAAGATGGCTACCCTTTGCCACCTCAGCCATCAAGCTCCTATGTAAATGCTTGACTGAAGGCACATTATATGTTGAAGGGCTTCTGGATGCAGCATGTGTTTTGTCTATCTGCAGTCTTTTGTGCTACGGGGATGATGATCTGCACATGGTGGGTGGGCTTCGATGTGAATTTTTACCTTTATGCATTATATTATCTCATGCCTGTTCAAGTAAAGGCCTTCTTACTTCTCATCTTTTGTTTAGGCATGTTTCGACTTTGTGCGCATTGTTGGTGTACGGAAAAATGGTGAGGTTCTACCTACTGAAAAACTGATACAAACATTGACAATCATTCTAAGTGAAGATGTTGAAGCAGTTTCTGTATACAGGTACCCAATAATTTATAAGTTACCCTACAAAATTTTCTCCTTCCGAAAGTTGGATTTCATTTATGGTGAGATTCTGTGTTATCTCATCTTCCATTGACTTTACGACTTGAACTTATGAGTGGCTTGATACCAAGGTTAAATTATGAGGTATCACATGTGATATTTTCTTTCAATTTGATTGTGGAACCTGGCCTCAACCGAATCTTTCAGATACCCAGCTCTTGTGTTTTAACTTATGTGCACTATTTGATTACTTTCTTTGTCTGCTGAGTCTATCCTTTGTAGGTTATTATCTCACAGAATAAATAAAATTTTGATTGTCAGAGATGCAGCTTATGATTCTTCTCTGGGAGGATGTCTTCAGTCCTTGCATTCTGGTTGTTCTGATGATGTTGTGAGGTCAACGGCAGCTGATATTGTACGCATCTTTCCTGACTCGATGCTGAAGACGAAGAGCTTGGAGCTCAAGGTTAATTGTGCATGTCATTTAAACTGTCATCTCGTTCTATTTCACTTGTGCACCATGAATGGATGCCTATTGAGGTGGATATGCATGAGCAACATGTTTCCATTCATGTACAACTTGTCTTGTATTTGTGCATTGTGGCTATATTGACACATAAGTGGTTGTGTATCTAGTGCTTGCATTTAAGAAGCTTTAGTCGGTGAATTTGTTAATTCTAAATTTCTGGATGCAATTTACTATTCTATCTTCTCCAAGTTTCAGGCTGGCCTGTGCAGCGCATATATTCGAATTGCAAAAGTATGTCCTCTCTCTTCCTGGAGGCCAGAATGTCTAATTTCTATGCTTTGCTCACCCAAGCCCAATTTTCATTTAATAGACTGCTTCAAAGCTGCTGTTTCTACCCTTGGTTCTAGTCTGATTGGAAGGACGATATCTGGTGATAGTCATAATGCATCAAGGGTAAATGAACATGAGAGCTCTAAAGTTGGGTCCAAAAGACCCATTCCAAATATAGAAACTTCAGAATCAAAGCGCCAAAAAACAGATATCAATTCTGGTGATTCGTGTCAGGATGTATGCAAGTTTATCAGCAGTTCCACTGGAGTTGAAGATGAAGAATATGCTGATTATATGTGTACCTCATTGAATCTGTTAGTGGAATTTCTAAAGCCTCCTGATGAGAGCTCTAATTCATTGAAAGCGGAAATTTCCTTGACAGCTGTTTGCACACTCTGTATTGTGTTTACGGAATACCCTCAAGCCAACCTTTCTCATTGTGTGTTTCGGCAAATGTGCAAGTGGATTTCTTGGATGTTTGATCAGGTGCAGTTTTATTTCTTTGTTTAATTTTCCTAGTAATCTTGATTATGGCATATGTAATGTTGAATAACTCTTGTAGGTGGAGGAAGGACTTCTTATTCCTCCCGGTCTATCAATTTTCTTAGCAGCAATTGACAGCTTACTATTTTTGCAAGGTAAATGGAACTGTTTCTTGAGCCTAACATTCATCTATAACTGCATTATGTTTATATGTGTAGTTTGTTAATTCTTTTTTCATGCCTCAACCAGCCAACCCTCTTATTCTTATACAAAACTTATGCTTTGTTAAAAATTGTTGAGTCTAGATGCTTAATTTATGATGATGAATACTCAACATAATGATCAGTCGTCTGCCTCATCTCCACCTTATATCCTGATCAACCAAACTTCATGTGCTATTTGCCTGAAAATATTGTTTCTTCTTATTTCTGACACCTCTCTGGAAATTCCCATATCTTATGTTTTAATCATCCATCTTTGTTTCATCTTAGGATCCCTACCTAGAGAAAGTAAGCTAACAATCTTTGAAAGTGCTGGTGACATTGAAGATTTGTTGCGACCAGTGTTAAGGCTTCCATGGAACTGCAATCATGCAGTAATAGAATCCCATCCTTCTTGGAAGGCAAAATGTCTCTCGATTCGCATTCTATCCAGGCTTGGATGTACAGCACAACATAGTGTGGATCTTGATATTCTGGATTTGGGCCTTCATGATGATGACGAAGAAGTTAGAGCAGAAGCTATCATGTCTATGCCAGTGATTGTCCTATTTTCTGGCTCTCCTCTTTTACGGCCTATGTTTGGCAGACTAGAGTGAGTGATGGAGGAATTTATGAATGTGCAAGCACACCCTATAAATTGATCAATTAGCCCATTAGTACAATCTTCTTACAAGAACAATATTCTGCAAGGCGTAGCATCTAATATATTTAAGGATGCACTTCACATTGTGCTTCTGCATCATATGTTTAGTATGTATCCCGTTTAGAGCTTTTAATCACACCGTGCATCCCTGTCATTTATAACCACACTTTGCACTCTTGATTTTGTAGTGTCTAGTTATTGTCAGCCGGATTGAGCTTACAGAAAAGAATTATTATATAGCTCACTCTGATTATAAGAACTGCAGCGATTTTATCATTAACGTTCTACAGTGACTGCTTAGTGGAAGTCACGCTTGCTTCTTAGCATTGAAATGAAGTCTTTATGATCCCTTAATTTATTCACATGCAGGATCCTAAAGAAAGAGAAAGTTGAGCAAGTCAAGAAAACAATTTCCCTCTGTCTTGGTTATCTGGCATGCCTACATGGATATTGCAATGAGGTTGCTGCGCATTTGAAAGCTGAATGTAAATTGTACTTGAGGAAAGACAAGGAGAAAGATGATATACCTATGGACCATCTGCTGCAAGGATTCTGGTGCTCAACGTGTGACTGCAGTACTCCAGTCAATTATGGTCCATGTCTGAATGTTACTTTGCCCAACATGCATGAAGAACATTTGCTTTTGGATTGCAATTATACCTATTTGCAGTCTCTCTTTCTTGAGCTCCTCTATGATGAGTCATCAGAAGAAGTTCAAGTTGTATGTGTAAAAATGATTGTGCGTATCCTTATGCATGGACCTAAAGATGTTTTGCTTGAGACAAGATCTCAGTGGGTGCAATGTGTTGATCTTTTACTCCTTCACCGGAGCAAAAACGTTAGACAAGCATTTGTGTCAGAAGTTGTTATCTTTCTCAAGGAGCCTATTTTGGACTGCTTGTTTCCTTGCAATGATGGTATAAATAAATCTAAGGAACAGAGATTCATGGACAAAATAAAACATGCTTTGGCAGCTGCTGAGGATCCTCTGGTTTTTGAAACTCTTCTAGAAACTGCAGCATCAATCATGCAAGCTGTTGATGTTCATAGTCAATTCTTTTTGTTCTCTCTTATTTTATTGATCGATCAGCTTGACAACCCTTATGTTACTGTGAGGTTGATTGCTTCAAAGTTGATAAAGAGATCATGCTGCTTGCACCATACAGGGGGGCTTGAAGCACTTCTTTCAAAAGTTCTTCACATCCAAAATGAATTGTATGATTATCTCTGCATGAGGCTTACGAATCAGCCGAAAATGGTTGAAGAATTTTCAGCAGCAGTTCTTGGCGTTGAAACTGAAGAACTTGTCAAACGAATGATTCCTGTTGTTCTTCCGAGGCTTGTGGTGCTCAAGCATGATAACGATCAAGCTCTAGCAACTTTATATGTGTTGGCCAGTTATTCAAAGTCTGACATGGTGCAACTAATTGTTAATTGGCTGCCCAAAGTACTGGCCTTCGCTCTTCATCAAGCTGATGGACAGAAATTAAATTCTGCTTTGCAATTCTACCACGAGCATACTGAATCTGACAATCAAGAAATTTTCGCAGCTGCTTTACCTGCACTTTTGGAGGAGCTTATTTGCTTCAGCGATGTCAAAGATTCTGAAGAAATAAGTAAAAGGTACTCCATGGAAATCTTTCATATTTAAAGGTATTTTGTTTGGGTTTATAAAAAAATAAAAAAAAATAAAAAAAAAACTTTCTTGGTGAGAACAAATATTTCCTTTTCTTGTTCAATGCGGCTTTTGTAAACATGTTTTTGAACATCTGGCATGAGGTTTACTTATGTGGCCTTCCCACTGCCTTGTGGGACCCATATTCTTTCATACTTTTTTTATGATGTATTACGATTTTTATTCATAGTTTCTTTTACTTAAAATAAATTGTGAATCCTGACTAACCAATTTTCTAGGCTAGCCAAGGTACCCCGCATGATAAAAGAAGTTGCACGAATTTTGACTGATAGTGAAGATCTTCCAGGATTTCTGAGGAACCATGTTGTTGGCTTGCTGAACAGCATTGACAGAAAAATGCTTCATGTGGAGGACATGTGTCTGCAGAAACAAGCCATCCGACGCATAGAAATGCTGATTAATTTGATGGGCTCACATCTTAGCACGTATGTACCGAAAATCATGGTTCTTCTCATGCATTCTATCAATAAGGAATGGCTTCAGGGTGAGGGTCTCTCGGTATTGCATTTTTTCTTAAAGCAATTAGCGATTGTATCTCCATCTAGCACCAAGCATGTTGTTTCTCAAGTTTTTGCGGCTCTTGTCCCATTCCTGGAGAAAGAGACAGAAAAGTCATCTCCCTTTATGATTAAAATTGTTGAGATATTGGAAGAACTTGTGGTTCAGAATAAGGTTGTTCTAAAGCAACATATCCGTGAGTTCCCAACTGTACCCAACGTTCCTGCCCTGACAAGAGTGAACAAGGTCATTCAAGAAGCACGTGGATCCATGACCTTGAAAGATCAATTACATGATGTTGTGGAGGGACTAAATCATGAAAATTTGAACGTAAGATACATGGTTGCATCTGAGCTAAGCAAGCTGCTGAACTTAAAGAGGGAAGAGTTCATGGCTTTGTTCACCAAGGAAGCGGATTCAGTAATGGATGTAGTGAGCTCCTTAATAACATCACTTTTTAAAGGCTGTGCGGAGGAATCAAGGACTTCAGTTGGACAGCGCTTAAAGCTGATATGTGCAGATTGCCTGGGTGCTATTGGTGCTATCGATCCTGCGAAAATCAAGGTTAATCCCAGCACAAGGTTTAAAATTGCATGTTCCGACGATGATTTAATTTTTGAGTTGATACATAAACATCTAGCTAGGGCTTTCAGATCTGCACCTGATACTATTATTCAAGATTCAGCTGCCTTGGCTATTCAGGAGCTACTAAAAATTGCAGGATGTGAGGCGTCACTTGATGAGAATGTTCTGGAACGGACAAAAAACACGAAGGTGGGCAAATTGTCTAATGACTATCCTGCAATGTCTGGTAGGGGGCAGAGGTTGTGGGACAGGTTCTCAAATTATATTAAAGAGATAATAGCCCCTTGCTTAACATCACGTTTCCAACTTCCTAACATGTCTGATTCTGCTGCTTGTGGTCCTATATACCGCCCTTCCATGTCGCTACGAAGATGGATATATTTTTGGATTAAAAAATTAACAGCACATGCCACAGGTTCGCGGTCTGCAATTTTTAATGCTTGTCGAGGTATAGTACGTCATGATATGCATGTAGCCATGTATCTTCTACCGTACCTTGTACTAAATGCTGTGTGTGACGGTACTGAGGATGCACGCAGTGGCATAACAGAGGAAATTTTGTCAGTTCTTAATGCGGCTGCTTCAGATAGTAGCGCACTTGCTGTTCAGGGTAGCAACTCAGGGAAAAGTGAGGTGTGCATTCAAGCTGTATTCACTCTTCTCGATAATCTAGGCCAATGGGTGGATGATGTTAAACAAGAACTCGCCCTTTCCCAGCCACTTCAATCGTGCAACCCTAAGCAGCTAGCCAACAAGTCGAAGGACCAGAATATGAACGTTTCAAAGGATTCAAACCAGGCTCTTGTACAATGCACATACGTGGCAGAACTTCTGGGTGCAATTCCTAAAGTTACTCTTGCTAAGGCCTCATTCAGATGTCAGGCCTATGCCAGGTCTTTATTATACTTTGAGTCTTATGTGCGCACCAAGTCTGGAGCTTTCAATCCTGCTTCTGAAAAGAGCGGTGTCTTTGAGGATGAGGACATATCCTTTTTAATGGAAGTGTATAGTGGATTGGATGAGCCAGATGGATTATCTGGTCTGGCATCTCTTCGTAAATCAAAAAGCTTACAAGATCATATCTTGATTAATAAAAAGGCAGGAAACTGGGCTGAAGTTTTGACTTCTAGCGAGCAGGCTCTCCAGATGGAACCTTTTTCTGTTCAGTGGCACTCTGATGTCCTTAATTGCTTGCTCAACATGTGTCATTTACAGGCCATGGCAACTCATGTAGATGGACTAAATTCTAGGATTCCTCAGTATAGGAAAACATGGTGCACCCAAGGGGTTCAAGCTGCCTGGAGGCTTGGGAGGTGGGACTTGATGGATGAATATTTGACTGGGGCTGATGAAGAAGGTGTACTGTGTAGCAGCTGTGAGAGTAATGCTCTGTTTGATAAGGATGTCGCCAAGATTCTTCAGGCAATGATGAAAAAGGATCAATTTTCTGTTGCTGAGAAAATTGCTTTGTCTAAACAAGCTCTAATTGCTCCCCTTGCTGCTGCTGGGATGGATTCTTATGCACGAGCCTACCCATTTGTAGTAAAGCTTCACTTGCTTCGGGAACTTGAGGATTTTAATTCTCTTCTTAATGGAGAGTCTTTCTTGGGAAAGAGTTTCCAACTGAATGAACCTGAATTCAAAAGAACATTGGAAAACTGGGAAAGCCGGCTCAAACTTACCCAACCATCTCTATGGGCAAGGGAACCTCTCTTGGCCTTCCGGAGTCTTGTTTTTCGCGCCAGTGGTCTTGGCGCTGAACTCGGGAACTGTTGGATACAGTACGCAAAGCTCTGTCGTTCAGCCGGTCATTATGAAACGGCTAATCGAGCAATTTTGGAAGCAAAGGCCTCTGGGGCATGCAATGTTCACATCGAGAAGGCTAAGCTTCTCTGGAGCACAAGAAGGGCGGATGGCGCCATTGCTGAGCTGCAGCAGTCACTTCTCAACATGCCCGTTGAGGTTATCGGCTCTGCTGCTATTTCATCAATGACCAGCTTATACGTGGTTCCTATTAATCCTGCCCCTTTACTCTCTGATATTCAGTCTTTGAATGAGAATCGGGATGTTGCGAAGACCCTTCTCTTGTACTCTAGGTGGATTCATTACACCGGTCAAAAGCAAAAAGAAGATGTGATAAATTTATATTCCAGGGTGAAGGAAATGCAGCCAAAATGGGAAAAAGGATATTTTTATATAGCAAAATATTGTGATGAGGTACTTGTTGATGCTCGAAAACGCCAAGAAGACAGTACGGAGCAATCTGGGAGAGTGATGGTGTCTAATTTATCGCTTGCACCTTCTACGAAAGGGAATTCCGAACGAAGATGGTGGGCTTACCTTCCAGACGTGCTCTTGTTCTATGCAAAAGGGCTTCACAGGGGCCACAAGAATCTTTTCCAAGCACTGCCAAGGTTGTTAACTCTGTGGTTTGACTTCGGGAACGTTTATCACCGAAGTAATATACAGTCCAGTATGAAGAATGTACATACAAAGGTATTAATTTCATGAATTGTTAAATACAAATAATACCTGAAAATTGTGGTGTTCTGAGGATAGAAATATTCCTTGATATTTGTTCCCTACATTGCAAATTGCACCATTGCTTGGGGGTATGTATAAGTATAACTCTGGTACTTGATTACTGTTATCTTGTCCCTTCCCTTTTCTTTTTGGTGGTGGTGGTGGGGGGTGGGGTTGGGGGTTGAGCATTAAGGACCTGGACCAGGAAATATAGTTTCTTAATGATCCCTTTCATGAGTTCAACTGAAGTGCTTACTTTTCTTCTCTTGTTCAGATAATGAGCATCATGAGAGGATGTTTGAAGGATTTGCCGACTTACCAATGGTTGACTGTCTTACCCCAACTGGTCTCGAGGATTTGCCACCAAAATGAAGAAACTGTCCGCTTGGTGAAGCACATAATCACTTCTGTCCTTCAGCAGTATCCTCAACAAGCCCTCTGGACCATGGCAGCTGTCACAAAATCAACCGTCCCTTCAAGAAGGGATGCTGCTGCTGAGATCATACAAGCTGCTAAAAGAGGAGCAAGCCAAGGAGGTCCCAACCCTTTGTTTGTGCAGTTTGCTGCACTAGTGGATCATCTGATTAGGTTATGCTTCCATCCCGGCCAATCAAAGGCTAGAACAATCAATCTTTTGACGGAGTTTAGTTCTCTGAAGAGGATGATGCCGGTGGACATTATAATGCCAACCCAGGAAGCTCTCACTGTGAATCTACCATCATGTGATGTGAAGTTAACAGATTCTGGTACGTCTGATCTATTTTCTCATTTGGATCTGCCAACAATATCAGGAATAGCCGATGAGGCCGAGATTCTTTCATCACTTCAGCGCCCAAAGAAAGTAAGACCGGATATGTTTTGTCTTTGATGCTATTCTTTTCTGTTTTGTGTTTTCTCTCTTGTTCGCCATCTAAGCAAATTCATTGTGGCAAAAAGAATGTGTTCATATTGTGTTGCTGAATTTAGTTTACATATTTTTAACGTCGTTTAATTTTTTCTTTTGGTTCCCTTACTTAGTCGGCTTATTTAATTAGTTACCACAATCTAACTATTGTCTTGAGACTGGAACTCAAATTTTTCATCATTTCAGCTCCTTTTCCCTACAAATGAGACAAGGTAGTTTGGTTTAGGCTACACAATCAAATACTATGAAGGTGATGGCTAAGTGGAACTTCACCGTTGGCTGGTTTCTATGAGTTTCTTTCCAGTGTTCCTAAAATAACGTCTGGTTCCAACTCATATGCATTTGCTGATAATGGCTCATATGTTATGCACAGATCATTCTCATTGGCAGTGATGGATCTGAGCGCCCATTTCTTTGCAAACCAAAGGATGACCTACGAAAAGATGCACGAATGATGGAGTTCAATGCAATGATAAACCGTTTACTTTCAAAAAGCCCTGAAAGTAGACGACGGAAGCTCTATATCCGTACATTTGCGGTGATCCCATTGACAGAAGACTGTGGCATGGTTGAGTGGGTGCCTCATACTCGTGGGCTCCGGCATATTCTCCAGGATATCTATATAAGCTGTGGGAAGTTTGATAGACAGAAAACAAATCCTCAAATTAAGCGGATTTATGATCAATCGTCACATGATAAGATGCCAGAAGAAGAAATGCTGAAGACCAAAATTCTGCCGATGTTCCCTCCAGCTTTCCACAAGTGGTTTCTAAACACATTCTCGGAGCCAGCTATGTGGTTTAGAGCTCGAATTGCCTATGCCCATACTACTGCAGTTTGGTCAATGGTTGGGCACATTGTTGGCCTTGGGGATCGACACGGTGAAAACATCCTTTTCGACTCTACCACGGGAGATTGTGTCCATGTTGATTTTAGTTGCTTGTTTGACAAAGGCCTGCAGTTGGAGAAGCCAGAATTAGTGCCCTTCCGACTGACTCAGGTAAGAAAAGAAAAAGTTGAAATTGAGTAAGAATTATAAGAAAAATCTATTTCCTGATTCAAATATCTTTCAATATATTGATTTGCGGGCATCTTTTCTTCTAAACCAATTTCAAGTATAAAGCCATACTTTATGTATTTTCTTTTTTCTTTTTAGCTTCAATATTCTTAACAAAAATTTTCTTTTTTCTTTCTTTCCTTTTCTTTGCTTTTCCTTCTTTTTTGAAAAAAAAAAATTGGTTTATTTAGAACATGATTGATGGGCTCGGCATAACTGGATACGAAGGCACATATCGAAGGGTTTGCGAGATCACACTTTCAACTCTAAGGGCGAACAAGGAGACACTCATGAGTGTTCTGGAGACCTTTATACATGATCCTCTTGTGGAGTGGACTAAGCACCATAAGTCTAGTGGAGTCGAAGTACAGAATCCACACGCACAGGTTTGAATTTTCGTTCTACGTAAATAGGTTCCATATGCCAAAAAGATGGAAATTTTGGCCCTTCTGTTTTTCTTAAAGAAGAAAATATTTGTATTGAAATTTATTGTGGTTGAATTTTTAGCGAGCCATTAGTAACATGGAAGCACGGTTACAAGGAGTTGTGGTCGGTGTAGGGGCAGCACCATCGTTGCCTCTCGCCGTAGAAGGACAAGCTCTTCGTCTAATAGCAGAGGCTGTTTCACTTAAAAACCTTGGAAAGATGTATATATGGTGGATGCCTTGGTTTTAAAAGTTGGCTGGATTCCAGTATTTTGTTTCCTCTTCTTTTCGGTTCTTGAAGAAGGCTATTAAATGGTGAGTCATGAATTTTATGAATTTATGTATTTACTTATTTATTTATGGCTACGGTGAGTTGATTTACATAATTGGCGACACTAGATTCATCAGACGGTCAACTTTCTAGTGGTGCTGGCCGGCTTTAGGGTATATGATAATCACCTTGTGCATTTTCAGCATTGCCGATATTGTGAGGTTGCTTAGATGACATTGTTGTGGCCTTGCTGTGAGAGGTAACTCCACTTCTATATTATCTTCCAATTTAAATGCTCATTAGTTTCTACACTTTTTACTCATTTCATTGCATTTTGAATCGTCAGGCCAACGTTCAACCCCCAAAATCCTGGTGAAAAACTGATCAGCTGAGATGTTTTGCCACAAGACAAGCCAGATTGCCAGGAGGTAAGGGAATATTAAAGAATAATAAACAGTTGAATGAAGATTTTTTGTCACAAGACTTACCAGATTGCCAGGAGCTAATGGAAAATTAAGGATAAGAAACAGTTTGAGTGATGATAAGAAGCATCATTAGTGCCTCGCGCCAAAAGTTCTTCAGTTTTGCTACTGTTTGGGATAATTGCGGAATATCGTGCTGCTTTTATTCATGTTGTATTCTAAACGAGGATGATATTTTGGTATGAAAGCATGCATCTTTTGGAAAAAGTGTATTTAGATCTATCCAATAATAGTCATACTGGGTCATCGTATAACTATAATGTTGTGCACTTGGAACAAATTTAATTTCCAACATTATGAAAGTCAAATTTACAGTATTCAAAACCAATATGCGAGATTTTTAGGCATTTTAATTAAAGGTAGATGCACCTGAGTAGTTTATTTATTTCAAAAAGACAAAAATGAAGTGGACAAAAAAAAAAAAAAAAAA